GTGAGCCACATCTTTCTGCAAAGCAATGCCTTGTGCTACTGGGCTACATGGTACGTCGGACCTTCCCTGGGAATTAGCAACACAAGGAGCATGAAAATTAGCAGGAGAGGGGGTTGTCCCAGCCTCCTTGCTGACAGATGGCCAGTAGTTCTTCTCTGGCCCCCTGCACAGTGGGACAGTGGTCCTGGCCCATGCTCTCTCAATGAGGCAAGAGAGCAGAGCACAGGAAAGGGTTTGTTCTTTCACGATGTGGTGGGGCTGGGAATCTCCAGCTCTGCTCACAGTGCCACACCATAAAGCCGTACCCTGGACTCCTTTCCGATGTCTTTCCTCGTTCCCGAGTACACCTTTCACAATGGTGGATGGATTTGATCGTGATCGAAGCTCCCCAGATGTCTGTGCTGTGTGACAACTCACTTGTACAATAGGCGTGGCCTGGAATTTCTCAACATTCTCCCCAGTCAGATGTCTAAAAGGAACCTGTGGGTCTTGAAATGAAATAGCTTTGTTTCTTCATGGCTGGAGCACAGATTTTGGAGAGGAGTCATTTATGGATGCACAAGCTCACAAGGTGACCCCTCTCCAGCCACTTCCACCTTCAGAAGAAAAAAATGCTCCCCTCTGCCTGACACGCCCCAGGCTGAGGCACAGCGGAGCCTGGAAATCCCAATGGCAGCTGTGAGGCAAGTGTTACTTAGAAACATGCAGGTGTGTGTTCTTTTCCTATTCTTGTATCGTTCTGATGGGTTTTCCTGGCCTTTGAAACAAACTGCTATTGTTTTTGCATAGCAGGTAGAAAGCGCAGAACTTTGTGCACTGATAACCAGATTCTGTCACCTGTTGAGATCCTGCAATCCCTTTTATAGTAGTAATATGCTCAGAGCAATATTCTCTGCCCACCGGTGAAGTGTAAAAAGCTAAGACTGGCATAGCCTTTGTAACAGGTTTTAAAAAGTTATTCTTCCAAGAGGAATGAAAATGTACTGGGGTCACCTCCCTTCCCAGCGGGGCGGGAGACCTCGGGCTGTGTTCGAAGCCCCTGTAACTCTAACTCACTGAGTATTCCTTTCTTTGATGTCTCTTTCTCCTGGACCAGATCTCGGCTACTCTTCTGCGTTTTGGCTTAACATGAAAGCTTATTAGTGCTGTTGTGTTGTTTAGAACATGGAAAATAACAGGGGTAAGAACTGGTGGTACGGGCAGAGGAAAGAAGAGAAAAGGAGGGTGATGCCGCTGGCTCTTCTGGCTTCTCTCGGAAGGCCCTTTCTCTCCCTGCAATGTCCTTACTGAGGCCTTGCTTGAAAATCAGCCCCTTCCACTGTGCTCCTACAGCACTTCCCGGACCTCCCCTTCGACCTCAGCATGTTCTCCGTTGTGTTAACGTCCGTGTGTCTGTCTGCTCGGGATCTCCGCAGTCCCCATGAGAGCAGTTGATACTTGGTAGGCGTGCCACATGGACAGGGATACCTCAAAAGCTTAGGAGAAGAGTTCACTCACTTTTCCTAGCACTTTTAGAGATCCAGCAAAAAGAGGAGATGTGATCTGTTCTGGTCAGCGAGGGACTAGGTGCAGAGGCTGAATTTGACAGCCCTGAGGCCACTCTTGTCTGTGTCTGCTGTGGCTCATGTGCCCCGTGGTTGCTGCTGATGGCTGCATGTCCCGTGGAGCAGAGTTCTCGGTGTGGAGACACCCATTTTACTTTCTGCTCCGCTTTGTCAGGGTCTCCTTTCAGCAGTCCTCTGAGTGTGACACTTCCCCATATCCCCTGGGCTCCCAGGTGCCATCTCTTCCCCTTTGCCCGCTGTCACAGCTGGAGTTCTCTGTCTCTCTGCCCATCGAATGTGCCCAGGTCTTCTTCGTCCCTTGCAGGATGGACACCTGCTGATCACTCTGCCTTCAGTGTTTCCCTCTTCAGCACCTTCGTTCCTTCTCATTCTTCAGCTCTCAGCCCAATCTTCCGCAGGAAATCCCCAGACAGAAACCCCCAACACCTGCCATCAAAGCAGCATGAGCAATCTTCTCTCTCACAGGAGACTTCTGCTATATTGTTGGAGCCTCCGCAGCTGATTTTGCTCACTACCACGTGCTCACCACAAATCACAATGAAAATGTTCAAAGTAAAAATATTTATGCTGTTGAGCCCATTTCCGCTTGTTTCTTAAATGTTAGAAAGGTTTCCGCTTGTATATTTCCTCATATTGCATATCCATATTCAACCCTTAGCTGCTGCAGCATTTCAAGATAAATTCCATCTAAACCAGTGCATCTTCACACTTGGTACATATTAAAAGCAGTTAGAGAGCTTTCAAAAATTCTGATATCTGGGTCTTATTTTCTGATCATTTAGATCTCTTTGGAGTGGGTCCTACTTGTCAGCTTTTGAAATTTCCCTTAGGGGATTCTGAGTGCATCAGAAATTGAGAACTGCTGACTTAAACGTGGTAGGGGGGCTCATCCCATAGGGCCTCTGGAGGAATGCTCTTTGCCAAACAGGTGTGTGCATCTCAGAAATGCAGAGGAGCTCCTGTGCCGCGGGAGGACCTTATTAGTGCTTTTGTGTTGTTTATGACACAGAAAATAACAGGGGTAAGAGAACTGGTGTGATTGGAGTAGCTCTTGTCAGTGCCTAGCAGCGAAGGTGAGAAACCATGCACTTAGGAGGCACCAGAGTCTCTCTCATTGGTCTTTCTAATGAAACCTTTTTGGCTGCTCAGTCACTTGATTCACTTCTTCATTTGCCTTAGACAGATTTCTCTATGCAATTTCAAACTCCATAGGAGGAATTTGTATTCTAGCCATGTGTTAAATTTCAGATACGATGGCGTTTCAAAGTTACGAGTCCTTTGTATCCTTGTAAGTCGCTTCTCCAGTTGACAAAAATATATATTTCTGATTCAAGAAAAAAATGCACTATTTATTAAGGAACAAACATTCAAGTCTGGCTTGCTCTGCCTTTCAGGCAGGACTGCTGACCTAACCTTTGCCTGCGTGGCTTAACATACTTGTGGTGGAATGTGGCCTGCAATTATTATTATTTTTTTGAAACAAAAATGTTAGAACCTTCTAGTAATGGAAAAAAGCCTGCTAAGAGCTGCTCTTATTTAAAAATAATAAATCATATATGTGTAAAGTGGATTTCCTGGGAAGTATGCTTTTAGAAGTTTTTAAGTGCCGAGGTACATATTTGGAGAGGCTAATGCATCGGAACTCTGCAAGTGAAAATCCTAATTAGAGATTAAATAGAAGAATTTAGCCAGAGACAGGGTTTCTTAAGTGTTTGAGTGGAGGTAGGTGAGAGAAAAGCAGTATTTTTGCATGTCGGTTTTTACTTTAGGAGTAGTACATGTCCTCCTAAATTAGATACATCATCTACCACAGACTGGGTCACCAGAAAGTAGGAGAGATTTGCTTTGAACAGATTTGCTGTTAAAGCAACTGTGGGCATTGTGGTTCTCTGTAAACTGCTAGGAGGGAAGAGGGGAGAGGGGAGAAGTCCTTAGAATGAGGTGAGTTCTCTATGAAGTTCCGTGAAAAAGAAAAGATTTTTTCTACTGATACTGATTTCAGGCTTTCCTTATCCTCAGTGTTTTGGCAAGGGCCTGTTTTCCTAATATGCAATCTGCAAAGTTTGGTGAGGATAATACCCGTTAGAGACAGTTCACACATAGCAGGAAAGCTATTCCCGGGGAATCGAGGAGCTGATTTCCAGTTGTGTACGACTGTGTGGTGAAGGTGATTTGTCAGCCTGGACTCTGGAATCTAGCCTGGATCTTCACATTTCCCTCGAGGGGGCTGCTGCACAAAGAAGCAGAGTGCCTGCTGGGTAGTAAATCAGACTTGGATCTGGAGACACATAGCTGAGGTGGCCGTACAAGATGATTGCCCTGTGGGCCTTCACCTTACACCTGTCATCCTGGGTAGTTACCCATAGTGCTTCTTTCCCTTCCTCCCTCCCCTCCTTTCCTCCCTTCTGTTTTTGTTTTTGTTTTTTAGATAGGGTCTCCCTTTATAGTGCAGGCTAGCCTTGAACTCATTATGTAGCCCAGTCTGGCCTCAAACTCATGGCGATCTCTTTCCTCAGCCTCCCCAGTGCTGGGATTACAGGCGTGAGCCACCGTGCTCTGCTGCCCCTTTCACTTTCAAAATCATCTTGGTAGTTTGATAAATTCATGCATTCACTTTTCTTAGAAGGAGAGTCCTGCCTCTCAAAACTCAGTTCCTTCAGATGAAACTAATTGGAAAAATCTTGAAATCTCAAAATTGTCCTTGATCTGGGCTGGAGTTTCTTCCCAAGGCCTGAGCTGTCTATCGATTTCTACTGCTGAGAACAACGAATGTGTCTCTCCCAAGTAGCCCGTAGCCTCTCAGGGAGGTCTGGAACCAGTCACATTTAGCAGCTCCAGTACTGATCTGGAAGAGCTGTGATGAGCAGCCTGCTAATGAAACCTGCAGGCAGCACTCAATTCCAAAGTCTTCTTTGGTGTGGGAAGCAACAGATGGATCCTGAGTAACAGAAGATCTAAGCCTGGGCAGAGGCTGGTATGTCCATTTTGGGTGACATTGTACAGCAACACTAGGCACCATCAGTGGTCCTGAGATCAGATCAGGGCAGGACACAGATGACGTGTGTCACTGTAAAGTTTGTGACATTAATGCCCTTAATCCCCAAAACAGGGAGTGGCTAGTAGCAAGACGGGGTTAACATCAAAGGAGTTGGGTTCAAATTCTGTCCCTTTTCTGAATTAGCATGTCTCAGCATCTCAGGGATTTTTTTTTTTTTTTTTTTTTACTTTGTAAATACTGAATGAGGAATGTGTCTGAAAATGCTTGGCACAGAAATACAACTCAGTATAAACAGGTTTAATGAGATTTTAGCACTAGCATCAATATAACACTAGAATTCATTCTGTCTTCCACTGTACTGAGAGTCTGTGGGTCTTCAGTGCAAATACAGATAGGCTTGACAAAACATGAGAACACTCTGAGCCTCTATTGCACATATGGTATTTGGTGAGAGCCCAGGAGCACGGCCGGGTGACTTTCTGGGGAAACTGTTTACAACTTCCATCGTGTATCCAACAGCATTACCACCTAGAAACACATTTGTAGCCTGTGCTCTGGCCCGGGAGCTATTGCAAGTCCCTCTTCAAGGATCTGGGTGCAGGCTGAACTTCCCGAACCCTCGGTGTGCCGAGGTGGCTCTCAGCTCAGGACCTTCACAGTTTCTCATCCAGTTTCATATCTTAAAATTTCAGCTCCTTGAAAAAACCCAAAATGTTGTATCGACAGTAAGTTCTCTTGATCACAGAGGGGCTTTTCTTGGATCCTCTTAACACACGGCAATCTGGAATTCCTTGTTTATTATTTCTGTTTCTTCACGTGGACTGCAGTAGATGTGTGAATATTGTTTGTGGGAGGAAGGGTTGTAGGAAAGAGGAGTGAGCACGAAGTAGGGAGGGGGAAAAGGGGAAGAAGGAGAGAAGGAAGAAGAAATCCAAGGAGCGATGAAGGAAAGAGGAGGGAGGAAGGAACCCAGGGAAGGAAGCATGGAGAGGTAAAAAGAGCTTTGTTTCGGCTGGAAACGCCATATACTTATAAAGTAAATGGTTTGCCGAATGAAGGCCCAGAAGGCTGTATGAAGGACTAAGTCAGTCTCAATCTACATCGTCATAAAATGTAAAACAATGGAGAATTTTACTTTATTCTTCTTTGGCATAGGGAGAGTATTGCTCTGCTCTTGGCAAAGCCTTTAATACTGTGCATTCCTTGGATCATTCTGGGTAATGCTACGGGTTCCGAAGAGAAAAGGCCTGCTCACATTTCTTCTGCATTGTAAGGAGGACTGAGCCACCCGGTGACCCATTTCATGGACACAGACACACAGAATCCTTTGTTCAGCTGTGGACAGGTGAATGCTGGGCTTGTCAAGTTGTGTCCAGAATTTCCTTTTGAGAAGAGGTTCCACTAAAGCCATTCTGTACCTGATTTTAGAAGGGGTTGGTTGCAGAAAATAAGCCTAAACAAAGTGGCTATCTTTTCCCTAGGGTTTCTGTTGAACTGCTGTACAATCAAAATACACCCTGCAAAAACCAGAAAGCAGTGTATGATGAGGAAGAAAAGGAAGGAAGGAGTGAAGGAAGGGAGGGAGGGAAGGAGGACTCTGACCCAATATGGAAACAGATCCACCCATATCTAGGATTCAGAGAGAGTAACCAACAATATATTTGTTTCGGCGGAATTTCTCTCTTAGGCTAATTTTTAAAAATGAGTTTCTGTTTAAAAACGAGTTTTCTGATCTCTTCCTTGGGGGTCATGTGTAAATGGGCCAGAGTCTTTGAAATACTTGGATGTGTTTGTGGAACAGCAGTTCGATTTGTTACACCGATACCCATTATTAAATAATCCGGAAGCCAGAATCCTAAACTGAGGCACAGTGCATTTATTTTTTGATCATTCCCTCTTCACACCAAGCTCTATCACTATCATATTTGTGCCAAGGCACTAGAAAAACAGCTATTCCTCACATTCCACATTCATCTCTTCTAGAAAGTTCACTGCAGAATTCACAGTGATGTTTGACACTGCCGTCCTTCCGACAGACTCTAACTTGAAGCATCTGGTGTTATTTAGCTGAGAGCCTCATTCTATTCTCCCAGTACAAAAGGGTTCTGATTAATTAATCAGAACCAATCTGAATAATACATTAAAGATAAACTTCAATGCTTAGTAAAAAACAAAGAGGAACGTTTTCTTGGGTTATAGAATACGGCGTTTCCTAGATGGAACTGTGAAATCAAGTAAGTTTTAGCACTTACTTACTGTGGATCTAGAGATGTGCTACAGGCAGAATATCATCTCAAGACTCCGCAGTTCCGGGTTCTGCCAGCAGTTGGTTTGCTGGCTTCCCAGGGATTCTTGTCCTCTGCTCGGTGCCCTGGCACATTTTCTTGCCCTCCGTAATTTTGTCTTATCTTTATACAACGTTTTGTCATGTGCTGTCTGTGTTAAGAAGGATCGAAGTCGGTAACAGTTCAGGTGGAAATCTGGATTGTAAATTCTGTTTGTATTTGCTGTGTTTCATTTTCTTTTGTCCATGGACTGCCTAGCAGAGGTTCTGACTCCAGTGGAAGCTCAGGAGGAATTCATTCATCCGTGGAAAGGAATCCCTTTACCGCATCAGCTCTGGCTTCCAGAATTCCGAGCTTTCCTTGTTCTTGTCTTATCAAAGGCTAGAAGTCAGGATGCTCTGTAATTCCACCTGTTTCCTTCTGTATCAAAGCGTACAGTGAGATGCTCGGTCACCTACAGGTTTTATATCCCCAAGGCCTCAGAGTTCCTAAAATATGATCTTTCCTGAATTAAGTAGATTTGTATCCAGGGTATGATTTGTGTTGCTACCTTCCACCTTTTCAGAAGCCCGAGCATAGGATTTTCAAACACAGAGTCACTGTACTCAGTAAATATTTCCTTTGTGTCACGTGGCTTTCTCCAAATAAATCCTCCCATAAAGCTGTCTTTTGCTGCAGTTGTATTCCTTCCATGGCTTTTCCTTTGGGCCTAGAAATGATGACTGCTTCATCCAAACCATGTTTTGCAGCACAGTGTGAGTGAGTGTGAAAAGTTACACCTCATTAAGCTTCATAGGCAGTAGCTGAACTGTGAAGGTCACGGGACATCTTCCATCTTCATGTGCTCCATAAAGTGTTTGCTGATGAGTGTCTATCATTGTATTAATTGTTTGAAACATTCATTTTGCAATATTACATCCCAAGAAAGCTTCTAGGTACTGGGGATATGCTAGCAAGCAAAGCAACTTCTTTGTAGTTAGCAGGGTGGACTTTTTCAAGTGGTATTAAGTCCCATAAAGAAAAATTTAAGACAAAGTCAGTGGAAAGACAGTGAGGTGATGATACTCGTAGGTTGTCTGTGTTGTTAGGAAGGTGTTTGGTGAGCATGCTGGGTCCACTTATGTACAGTGCTTTGTGGGAAAGCCCATCCTGTGTAAAGGGACATCACTCAGATACTGGAGAGAAGGACATTGTGATAGTAACTCAGACACAGTGCTGGAACGGTTGAGCCAAAGGAGAGGCACGGAGCGGTATCCAAGGGCTGACAGAAAGAGAGAGAACAGGAAAAGCTTCCTGTAACAAGGGATGGGAGCTGGGCCAGTGTGAGGATGGCACTGCCTTCTCAGGGACAACCTGAGCCAGGGTACAGTGTTGGGAAAACACTGGCCATGCCCTGGAGTGACAAATGGTCCATTTTGGCTCTTGTCCAGTAAAAGCCAGATATGACTGAGATACCAGCATAGAAAGTGAGCTGACAGCCAAGTGCTGAAAGACTTAACATGTCAGGGACAGATGTGAGTATAAGAAACAACTTTCAATTTTTGCTTTAAACATGTTTCCTGATCATCAGAACAATGCAGTTTCATTAAGCAAGATGCAGGCAGTTCCTAGTAGTAAAATTTCTGGCAGAAAAGATGACTTAGTGAGAGCCAGGAAGGTTTGCAGAGTCACCACCTGTCAGGGATGTACAGACAATCTTCCCGTGGAAAGATCTGTACAATATTGTGTAAATTAGCTGACATCACCTGCAGTGGTTTGGTTTTGCTTTGAATTGCTTGTTCTGCTGACTGTGGGGTCCATAATTTCATAATGGGAGATAGAATTCTCCAGAAACCTTATAAAATACAGATATGTATTCACCATGGTGATTGTGGACTGCTTGAGAGATACCAGGCCTTTTGTCCTTGGTGCTTTTCCTAACACTTTCTCTACATGATAGACAAAGGTGGCCTGGGTCCTCAAGGGAGATTGTTCCTAATTAATAACTGTATTTTTGGTGTACTTTTGGAAAGATTGTTTTAAATCCAGGAACTACCACGGGAGATTAAAGAGCCAAGTGAAATCCGAGCTCTTCCTTTTTTCAGAGACTTTGCTTTCTGTCGATATAAAATATTTTCTTTCACACATGCTAACATACATGAAACACATGCCAGCGGCCAGTGTGAAAGTTTTTAATCCTTTGCATTTTTTTACCCACCTTTTCTGGGCTGCACGTTGACTTCTGTGGCCCCCAATATGGAGGCAAATAAATTGATGTTATTTATTTAAACATTTGATTTAACATAAAAGTTTGTTTTTATTCTGATCTTAAAATAAATGAAATCACTGGCCCGGGCCCCTGTAAGCGCCACACCTCTGGCATTCTATATCCCATGCCCAGTGGGTTGGCCGCCTCTTCCCCTCTCTGTGGAGAACTGATGATCAGTGGAATTGAAAACCGGAATGCGTGGCTGGGCCCCAAGTTGTTCATGCCCTGTATGACTCTACAAATATGGACTTCGAATCAGATACTGCATACTTTGAAAATGCCTCCTAGTTGCAAAGCAGAGCCCTCTGAAAGGTCAGATTCATTTTGTTGACCTTTTCATTCTGGTTAGTATTGGCAGCTGCAATTTCCTCTTTTTAGAAAATGTAAGAAAAGTATGGACCTCAGACTACTTAGATGAGAACCACCAAGATCAATTATAATTCCATTTTCTGGGATGCTTATAATGAAATTAGGCATTTTGGATCAGAGTATCGGTATCTTTGGTCCTAAAACAAAAGTCCCATTGGTCTCCTTCTGTCCACTTCTCTGTTGAGGGTAAAGTCTGCCTCTTTATCTTCCACTGGGTGTCCTTGGCGATGAGGTCCTGCAGCCCTTGAAGCCCAGTGCCCTGTTCCTAGCTGTGCTGAAGAAGCTGACTGACTCGCGTACTTGCTCCTCCTTAAGCCTAGAAGACACGCTCCTCTCAGGCAGTCTTTTCCTATCACCCTTGAGGACTCATACAAACGCCATGGTTCCCTTCAATTTGTCTCTTTCTTTGTACTCTCCCTGTATGTCTGCTGCATCACCTATGATGTTCTACTCTATTTGTTTACTCAGCAACTTACCCTTACAAATTAGAATGATCATTCCTTGCCAACAAGGCCTAATATTTATTTTTGCCTTTTTAGGTGGTAAACCCAGGGCATGCACTGAGCAATTATTTATTTTACAAATGACCTTACTTGTTTCTTAAAAGCAGGGCCTGTGTGTGTCTGTGTGTATTTATTTTTACATTCCATCCTTAAGGCTAAGCATAGAATTTAGCCAATATTACTTAGGCAAGTTGCATTCATTTCTCTTCTCTCTCCCCTTTCTTGTTAAGTAATGAGATTAACAGACACATATCGGGTAAAGGAAGATGCTGGCTAAGAAAGACAGTGAAAATCCCCAGAAAAATGTTGAAAGCAAAGTG